CGCTCGTCCTTTCTGCCGTGAGGGCATTATAATGTGACGGTCAATCAACTATTCGTTGGTAAAAAGAGTAGCCCAAGAGTTGGCGGTGGGTGGTGATGACTAGCTGCCTTCCCTCTAGTCTTTCACTGCTAAATTAGGGACGGTTAGCGCAGATAGCCCTCGCGTAGCTTTGCGCGAAATGCAAAACAAACAAACAAATCGAAACATGACAATTTTGGGGAACATATAATTTTAAATATACTCGTTAATATTCTAGATCATTTATTGAGATCACGATAAAGTAAATAAAAGTTTCTTTATAATTTCTTTTCAGGCACTTTGTGCTACTATATTAAGAGTAAAAACACAAAATCCGACGTTTTTTTTTGGCACAATTAAAGATAAAATATTTATCATTAGTTACAGCCGACTAATTTCGGTAATACAGTTACCATCATCAGTTTAGTATCTACAGTGTCAGCTTAGCCTATATTCAGGGTGAGTTCATTAAAAAAAATCAGAAAAAAAGGGGAGGAAAGTATTTCTCTCATTTATGATGTACTTTTTTTCCTGACCTTGTTTTTAAAAATGTAAAACCCCACAACCCTAGCATTTCGAAAGGTGGATCTTTCTTCATCAGAGGTAAAATGCGAATGATGAAGAAAGGTCGACCTTTCGAAAACGCTCGGTTTATATGGTTTTGTATTTTTAGGTTAAATTAATTTTTTGAACGTTCTTTCCTAGCATCTCATTTGAATATAGTTTTATGGTGTTTATTCAAATAAGATGATATAACCTAAGCCTAGAGATGGAATATCTACTATTTATATCCAGCAAGTTTAATGTTGCAAAGTCTGTGCTGTATCTTGGACCCTTCATTCTAACGCGGGTGCGGGTTTTCTAAACTCGTGAAGAAATTGTGGATGGTCACGCAGGTATAATGCTATAATAGCGTGACTTTACTGAACTTAGCAGGAAAGCATGTGACACCTCATTAATTCACGCTTTTACATGCTGGTATTATCTTGTTTAAAGTTTCAAAAGCTGGAGACAAGAGATACAATAGCCTATGTTTGGGGAAAACGCGAGTATATCCCCATGCAATATGTACTTACCATTGCAGATTTAAACACCTTATTCATACCGACGATCTACTGAAAACATGCTCCATCATTTTTATGATAACTCTGTGTGAACTGGTATTGAAAAATGACACTTTCCTTACATAACAAACATTTAACTCAAGCTTTACAATCATTCATCGAATCATCGTCTCTTTCATTGCTAAATCAGGACAAATTGCGCTTGTGATTGGATCTGTGAATGCATTCGAGAAAGCATCTTTGTCACGAGATACGATATAAAGAAGGTAACTTGATTTTAATTTCTGTTATCGCTCTTGTTTCGTGCGGTTAATATAAGCAGAAGTTTATTACACACGTTTATGTTTACTTGTATGAGAGGATTTGACAGAACCATATATTATACATGACGACTAGCATTTCGAGCGAAGATAATTAGAAGTAACACGCTAATTTAGAATAATCATCATTTATGTTGTTAAGTAGTGTTAGCTATTTCCTCAGCGTGTCATTTTTTTATTGAATTCCCAAATTCATATAATGTATTAATATATTCTCGCCCCTTTTAAATTTCCGTCTCTTTTTTTTCTGTTTCTTTTTCAAATTTTCATGGCAAATTAGTTGAAATATGCCTTTGCTTTTCATATACTTCCTTCTGCCTTTTTCATTTTGTTCCTAGTTCAATTACATGTTACCTTTTATTTCATGGCAAACTTACTTAAGCTTTTGATACAATTTAGTTAATTATTTCTTACGATTATTCGCTCTGCTTGAGACGTTCCTGGTGTTTCAGAAGTAAGTTTAAGGAATTACAACGCTAAAATATTGGATTCAATTCACCGTGGCGAACAGAGCACAGATAACCAATTGGAAAACTAAAAAAGAAAACAAAAACTTCTTATGATTTTTTTGGCATTGGAAAAATTTTATATATTTTAAGCATACGTTTCAAGTCATAATTATTTTGATATTAAAAAGTATAGTTTTTAGGAATATTAATCTTAGGTTACTTACATTTTATTATGTTTGATCTTTAGCATTATAAATGATGGTCAAATATGAATGAACAGTAATGCTTAGATTATGTACCGAAAAAAAAAGCAAATGTTTTACGACACTAATCGCCAATGAGACTATTTCCTTAATTTTGACGTGGTTTATAATAACTCTACAAGAAAACAAAACAAATTTTGAAGTAAAGATTTCAAATACATATACATTGGAGAATCTCAGTAAAAATACATATTTCGATCTGATAGAAAAAGTAAAAATAGTAAAATAGTAAAAAAAGTAAAGAGTTTAGGAAATACAGTTATGTTTCATTTGAGTGACTATTTTACTGATCTCATGAAAGTGTGCGTAACATACTTAATTTTAGCAGATTGTTCACCTAAAATGACTAATCGAAGATTGGGTTTTCTAGGAGAGGGAATCCCAAGTTTTACGTGTACATTTTTGTCTATTTATCTACTTCATTTTGGTTTTCTTCTTCATAGAAGGTGTGTTCTTAATCTTATCTGCGAAATTCGGACTCATAATGTCGTATAAGAAGCTGTAAGCTGTCTGCCAGTTTAGTAGCACCTATGTAGTACCGAAAATGTATCAGTTCACACTAGTGTGGTTACTGTCATAGAGATAAGGAAAACTAAAAACAAAAACTTTTAACCACAATCGTGACTATCTTCAAAAAAAAAACGACAAATTATCGAGGTATTTACCTTTCATCAATTGCAGGAAAGATCTTGGCTCACATCCTGGCAGACCGAATATCTCTGATAGCTGAGGGAACCATCACTGAATCACAGTGTGTTTTCAAACCTTCTCGTGGAACTACCGACATGATTTTTGTGGCATGTCAAGTGCAAGAAAAGTGTAGAGAGCAAAACAAGGATTTGTACGTGATCTTTATAGATCTGACCAAAAACATTTGATTCCCTCAAACTTGACAAACTTGGCTGCAATAGAAGGTTCATCCGAAATTTTGAGACTCCATAAATGATGACATGACTGCTTCTGTACTCTGTCAAAACTCTCAAACTGACGCCTTTAAAATCCGTAAAGGCATGAAGCAAGGATATGTAACTGTTTCGACTCTCTTCAACTTTTACTTGTCAGCAATCTTCTTTTTTATACAAAACGACCTTCCTGCTGGCGTAAAACTTCATTATCGTTATGAGGGCAGGGTTTACAACCTGCAATGGCCGATGGCCAGAATCAAAGTCACCCCTATCATCCTCAATGATCTTCCATATATCCATGACTGTGTGATAATCGCCCATAATTCTATTGACATGCAAACGACCATGGATCTGATTGGCTCTGCTTACAAGAAATTTGAACTCTCCATGAATACAAAAAAACCTCATCTTTCAACCGAAATCTTCGAGACCAAACTTCAAACATCCCGAAATTTTTGTCGATGGAGAATCACTGGAATGCGTGGATCAGTTCCTGTATCTTGGCAGTCATCTATCTTCGAACACCACCATTGATAAGGAAGTTAATAGCAGAATAAGCTGTGCTGGAAATGTTTTTTACAGACTGAGACAACGCGTATTTTACAACAAAGATTTGAGAAATATAACCAAGTTTATGGCTTGCAATGCAGTGGTCATCACTGTTCTCCTATATGGCAGCGAATCATGGACAGTGTACAGAAGACACATCAAAGCCCTTGAGGGAATCCATCGGAGATGCATCCGTCAAATCCTTGGAATCAAATGGGAAGACAGAATAACCAACATCAGCGTCCTCGAACAGGCCGATTCCACAGACATTGAAGTCCGGCTGATAAAAGATCAACCTTGTTGGGCCGGTCACTGTCTCCGTATGCAGGAACATCGTCTTCTTCGTCAAGTCCTCTTCTCGGAACTTTGTCACGGCATTTGTTTTCGGGGTGAATAAGTAAAAAAATTGGAAGGATAACCTGAAATCCAACCTCAAAAAAGTATCCATCAACCTCAACATATGGGAGGAAGATGCGTCTGACTGTTCCCCTTGGCATCGTTTAACCCATCATGCGACAGAAACATTCGAAACTGATCGATGGGAAAACGAGAAGCAGAAGCTTCAGAAGAGGAAAGAGAAAGAAGCCAACGCTTATTTGCGACAACATCTTCCTCTGAGCACTATCTGCTAGAGGTGTTACAAGCAATGTAAATCTCGAATTGGGCTGTTTAGTCACGTGAGAACACATTCACCCTAAGAGACGTCGTCTTCGTTCGGGATAGACTGCCGACGACAAATAGAGCAGAACTTTACCGAAGGGTTTTAATGAAAACAAATAATAAAATAAATGTGTAAAGTATCAGTTTAAAGATTTACTAATGGAACTTGTAACAAAAATCCTTTATGCGCGGGCCTCACGATTAAATAAAATAATTAGTTTTGAAAACAAATTCATTTTACCATCGATATAATTCTTTAAAACTGTATACGTATTATAAAATTATTTGACAAAGTTAGAAATAATTAATTTACATTTTAAGACGATGCATTGACAATAGATAAAGTTAAGCGATGTTTTAAGATCGCTATCGAAAGGTTTTACTTAATATATCCTTCAGTATGGAAATCAGTATGAAGTGTGTCGAAAGTAACAGAAAAGTTTTATTCTAGGATACACTAATGACAAACAATAAATTAAGGAAAACAAAACATGAAAATGTTATAGCTTTATTAAAAGCAACGAACGTGATTTTATTTTCATCATATTTATTTGGCTAATAGCAATTATTTCTTATTTGTTAATATAAAACATTTTCGTAATTGTTCCGGAATAGACATGCTAAACAGTTTAAAGATTTTTCAGGAATACAACTATTTTCAACATTTCTATTTTTTCCAGCTCAGTGTTTGTTTATATAAAATTTTAAGTACTCTAGTTTTTAACGTGTTTTAAGGTAATTAGCTATATATTTCTCTTTATAGGCCCAAATTTCTGGGGCTTGTTAAATCCTGACTGGAAGCTGTGTGACAAGGGTCGTCGACAGTCTCCAATAAACATGGACCCTTCAATCCTTCTGTTTGACCCACAGCTTCGACCTTTGCAAATGGACAAGCTTCGTGTAAGTCACAAAAATGATATTCTAGTATTCTTTAACCATTATTGTCAAAACAAAACCACTTCTGGGGACAATTTAGCAAGAATATTAAACTTGTTGTTTTAACGCTATTATTTCAGTTTAAGTAATACAGCAAAGATAAGCAGTTCTACACATACTGATGCAAACAAATTTTGTTTCTTTTATAAAATTAAATATATTCTTAAAATCTTTATGTTCTTATCTATTCAAAAATAACTTTTAGTTTGTTGTTATCAATTTTCCTCGTAGTTACATAAGCTTCAAGTGTACAAAGTTTTACAATGTTTCTGTGGTGTCCTAACGACACATGACAATAATCAAGACTTATCTGAAGTTCTAAGCACAATAAGATGAAAACAAATAAAAACAAAACAATAATAATTTCATTACAAACCTAGAATGTATTTTTAGCTCTTATCCTCATACAGATACGATATATATAATATTACAATGTGAAAAGAGAAACAAACTTTAAAAAATGGGGTACCAAAGAAAACTAAAAATGGCCTAAAAAACCATGACACCGCTCTTTGGATTTAGAATAAAGATACAAAAATTGTTCCAATGTCCAATTATCGGTCGCAATAAGTATATCATTTTTGAGTATTCCCATTTTTGTTAACACGATTCAGTAAGAAAACATTCACAAAAAATGAGTCATTGGATATTCAAGACATCCAAAGACTCTGTCAGAACGTATTATTTAAGAAAAGAGTAGAGAAGTGGGTTTGAATCAGAATGTGTTATTTTAAAAAAAGGTAGAGAAATGTGTTTGCAAAATGAATTAAAAATAATTCATTGTGGTCTTCGCTAGAACTGCTATACTAAAATACATATAACAAAATGAACTGTTCTCTTCTAGAACAATCAACTTACACCAGATCTGCCAAGAAAAGTTGTGAAATATAAACAATATGCAACGCCTTAAACAGTCATAAGCTAACCTAACCTGACTTAATCATAATTTATAATAATGTTAGAAGGATGCAGGAAGCAAAAGCTATTTTTGATTCAGTTAGTTGAGGTCAGTTTGTTTATCACTCTATCTCTCGTGATAGTTACATAGAATAAATATAAAACATGCACATGAGTTCAATATAAAGAAGCGTTTTTATTCACTAGAGAGCTTTTGCAATATACCTTACATAATAAGTTATTGTTAAATTAGCTGAAACATTGTCAACAACATGACAGTTGGTTCATTCACCATGCATAACTATAGCTTACTTTCTCTTTTTATGTTCAACAAAAGACGTGTATTTTACTTGCTTTTGGAACTTTAGGTTTCCACGGTGATGACCAAGTAATGTGACCGTGCCCAAGTCATCTATCTATGTCAGACCAACGTGTGCTCGAGCAATGGATGCCGTAAATTGGTTTCAAAAGCCAGAGCGATATAGAGAAAAGTTTGCTTTCTTCCCAGGACAAACTTTATAGAACACCGAATGATTTTTACGACTTGACTACGTACAAAAATTAAAACTTTCTTAAACGTATCTGTATATCTCTGCGTGTCTATGGACATATGCCTAATTATTGCTATCCACGTCAAGCTACTAAGGATGGTATTGAGAAATTTGTTCTAAGAACACTTTTGAAATATAAGCACAGACAATGCATTAAACAAATAGAAGCTTCAGTCGTCATGCAATCAATCAGAATAGAAACAAAGGCAGAAATTAAAAGTGTGTTACCTTGAAGTAGGTCCAACAAATGAGGGTAGTAAATAAAGGATTATTGTCCCAAAATAATTCAAATAACTGAGAATATAAATGAAAATATTGCCTTGGCTTAAGTCACAACATTGGGGGGCGTAGTGAAAAGATGATAGAGGTTAAGTTTATATATATATACAACAAATAAGCAAAACCAAAAATGACTTGTATAAATTGATATATTCAAGACATATTAACAAATAAACTTTTCCTAGGCTGAAAGTATATCGTTAATATTGATTAATTGTTTCAGTTGATTAATAACTGAGCACGGGAGGGGGGAGTGTGTTGCTGCTGTGTAACGTTCGCCGCAGACGTAATAAAATTAATAGAAAAAGCAAAAAAATTAATACTACAGTTTCATACACTTATATTATAGTTTGAAAATTTTATAAACACTGAAGATCGAAATGTGAATCAAAAGTTAGTGAACATATTTTCGTAATAAGTATTATATAGTATTGTAAACCAGTTTAACAAATGGAATTTTGTTTATTGACATTTGCTCTTCTGTTTCTGTTGTGAGCCAGAATTGTAAACCAGTTTAACAAATGGAATTTTGTTTATTGACATTTGCTCTTCTGTTTCTGTTGTGAGCCAGAATTGTAAACCAGTTTAACAAATGGAATTTTGTTTATTGACATTTGCTCTTCTGTTTCTGTTGTGAGCCAGGAAATAGTATGTAAGCAAAAAGAAGTTAAATCTCATTGAATGTTGACACTTTCACTAAAATATTTTAAGTGCCTTTTTATAGTTGTTTTTGTGGTTTTAGTTAAAGTTAAGATGTTTTTTTTTATTGGAATCATGTATAATTCAGCATAGATGTTTCTAGTGGGCTTGTGGAAAGATTAAACTGACTACATGTGTATCTAATAGTGTTCCAGCTTAGTTTTATATTCCAACAGTATTCAAAGCAGTATATCGTACTTGTTTTCTCTAACAAGGAACATATAACACCCATCTATATAACATATACTCGTGCCATCAACAGATGATCGTCATTTGTTGGAATAGACCGACACTTCTTTTGCAAAGCAGTTCTTAGTATAGTAAGATGGCGTCTGTCAGTTTTGTCACTAAGGCAGCGTTCCAAAACATGCTGGCATGATGAAACTGAATTCAGAAAAGGAAACTCAAGGCTGCTAAAGAAAGAATTTGTGCATGGTGTATTATAATGTCGAAAAAAATGAGATTCTTTCCATAGAATTTCATCAATGGTTGTAACGAATGTCACATTATAATAAAACATTTGGTTTCTTTAACTATGACCAGTGGAACAAGTCTAATGTAGTTAAAAAGGAGTCACTCATGGTTCTATTAGACTACACACACATATTCAAATCGTTCTCCAGCTTGCCGTCAAATCCAGACCCGTCCAACCGAATATGAGTAGCAGGATTAATTGTTCTACATGATGGGTTGTTACATTGTTTTTCTAATGCTCAAGGCAGCATGAAAGCTAAAGCTTTGCATGCACGGCTTTAATGAGCAGCTTATGAGGTAAAATCCAACAGTATTAAGCTCCCCATACACAGGTTAATTCTCAGTAGTCCCGAACTCTCATTAAAGTCTCGAGTGATTAATGAATTTAATGCCATATGTGCAATTTAGTTTCAAAACGTGTCTTAGAGTTCGCATGGATAGAGGGGAATCTAATTTTGGGCGACCAAGTCAATTGTTGCACATTAGTACGTTCCATGGCCATTCACTTTTTCAACATATAACCAACAGTGAATTTTGGATGAGATGTTTCGGATACTCATGTCATCAATGCTGCACACGTCCGTTAGCTTCGTTCCTCGTGCGTCCTGACTCCACGTGGCTGTTAACCTTTATCAGCTATTGCACTTGTACATTATAGAAATCTCGTGCATATTTAGTGGGTTGGAGAGAAGGGGTGCTGACCTAAAATTTTTTAATAATATATATTTGTTTTATGCGCCCACGAGGTAGCGACAGTGTTTTGTACGACAGGAATTACCCTTCTTTCCTTAATAGATGACGTCAAAAATTTATGCGAGAACGATAATTTGATTTTAAGAATTAAGATTGTAATTTATTATACACGTTCTCCATATCTGATATTTCAAGGTATCATATTGATTTATTTTCGACTGTTATCTTTATTATTAAACATCACAACCTGCACATCAGACAACAGGGGTATTTTGCGAATAGTTAGCAAATAGAATGTAATTGCTCGGACAAAAGTAATACGGTAAAACGGCAAATATCCTGTTTTTCAGGAAAAAGAACTATACAAATATACAATGTTTCACTGGCTTATTCCAGCATTTTCAAATGTGATACATAAAATAATAATAAATATATCCCTCTTAGAGAGAGATGGAAGAAATGGATTATCTGTAATAATCAGAATTTGGGGATTTCTTCAATAAAGCTTCTAATTTTTTTAATATAGCATCTTAATCTCGCAGGTTAGGTTAAACGTTTTAACGGCATAAGTGTTCATATCCGACACCAAACGACAAGAAAAAAAGGCTTTAATTTTGATGTTTCCATGACTTCTGATTCACCTTCATTGGTGAAAATGAGAGCGTTCTCTACTACAAATGGTTAAAGAGAGCAGTGAAAGAAGTATATTAGATGGTACAGCATAACATCATGAACATCATAACATCATAGCAGTTTAACCACTTCTCTTCTCCGACAAACTGCAAAAATTACATCTACAACAATGAAAGAGGCTAATTCTATAAAATGAAACAGTTCAGATAAGTAAATAAAAGGCATAATGAATATGAACAAAGAGTAAATATATGTTAGAAAAAGGTTTCTTTTTGTTTCTAATGTATGAACACTAGCATTATAATGTACACATTTAATTTGTTGAATCATATTTGATCCTTTGCGATAATTTTCCTAATCTTAAAAAGTTTATCCAAATTAAACAACGAAAGGAACTGAAACTTTCTCTCCAAATTACACTCTATCAGTAGACGGAATCACAGTCCTTTGTAAATTAGTAGACGGTTCCACAGTTCTTGTAAATTAGTAGACGGTTCCGCAGTCATTTGTAAATCAGTAAATGGTTCCGTAGTTCTTTGTAAATCAGTAGACTGTTCCACAGTCCTTTGTAAATCAGTAAATGGTTCCGTAGTTCTTTGTAAATCAGTAGACGGTTCCACAGTCATTTCTAAATTAGTAGACGGTTCCGCAGTCCTTTGTAAATCAGTAAATGGTTCCGTAGTTCTTTGTAAATCAGTAGACGGTTCCACAGTCATTTCTAAATTAGTAGACGGTTCC